CGCTCTTCATGGGTTAGAGGTCCGTGTGGTATTTCATGAAAATATGTCTAGAAAGCACTAATATATATCTGAGGAAAGAATAGCTGATGGGGTTGTGTTGCCAAAAGCGGGTAGGCACTGCACTTGGATTTTTTTTTTAATTGTTCAAAAATCAGGGATTTTTGTTTCCTTCGTTAAGTTGACACCCTGTATATCAAGTAACCCATTTAGTTGAATATACTTTCAGCTTTAAAAATCCTTCCTGTACTTTTGCTTATGAAGATAGATTACTCACAAATAACTAAAAACATTTGGTTTGGTTAAAAAAAACTAGTTGCCATCATTGAACAACCTTCGATTTTTACTGAATATCACAACTCGGAAAATTTTTGAGATATGTATCGAGCATTTAAAATGAAAACTCACTGGCCACCCTGTAATATACAATTCACGATCTGAATCTAAATTCATCTTAGTAAATAGTCTGTTTCCAAATAATCGAAGCAGAAAAATTAGTACTGTGTGAGGAAATGGAGGTTAGAAATGAACCGTGCTCTTGATTATTCAATCAATACTGATTTTTCGAAAACAAATCTATGGAATCCTTCATTCAACCATTTGTTTTATTTTAAAGTAGCTTGAAAAATGGTCATAGAGGGTTGTGAATTTATAGTATTTCTCAAAACCGGTCGCAATCAACGAAAGGTCTGATCCATATATTTCATATCTTTCCGATCAATAATCACTTTGTTTATTGTTATAAAGTCACTATTTGGTCCTTGATTTGGTCACTATTATATGTAAAATGCATGAGAACTGGCAGGGGTAAACTTTTATCCCTAGCGTTTAGTTTGGAAACAGTTATAAAAGAACTTCTAAGTGTAAGAAAATTGCCATGCCAAGGACCTCTTCTCGTATCATGAAATAAATCGAATAAATTTTTTGTAGGCTTATATTGAGATGGTTGCAGTTTCTTTCACACATGCGGATACACTTGTATGACCTACTATAAAGGGTGATACGGTCAAAATTTGGTCAATATCAACTTGACGTATTTCTTTCAATTTTGCATTTAAAAAACCTGAACACCCCTCATTTTGAAGGTGTGTGTGTGTAGAATGTTGCTCCTATTTTGATTTTGGAATTCACTCTTCAGTTGTCAAAATGCCGTCCAAGCAAGAAGAGCAGCGTATCAAAATTTTGCTCGCGCATCGCGAAAATCCGAGCTACTCGCACGCAAAGTTGGCAAAATCGCTAAAAGTTGCCAAATCAACCGTTACAAATGTAATTAAAGTGTTTGGGGAACGTTTGTCGACAGCCAGGAAGTCTGGATCGGGGGGAAATCGAAAACCGGAAGCCGCTGAGACGACAAAGAGAGTTGCCGGTAGTTTCAAGCGAAACCCTAACCTCTCTCTCCGAGATGCCGCAAATAAGCTGGGTGTATCGTCTACAACCGTGCATCGAGCCAAAAAACGAGCCGGACTATCGACTTACAAGAAGGTAGTGACTCCAAATCGCGATGATAAACAAAATACGACGGCCAAAGCGCGATCCCGGAGGCTGTACACGACGATGCTGACGAAGTTTGACTGCGTGGTAATGGACGACGAAACCTACGTCAAAGCCGACTACAAGCAGCTTCCGGGACAGGAGTTTTATACGGCAAAAGGAAGGGGAAAGGTAGCAGATGTTTTCAAGCACATGAAACTGTCAAAGTTCGCAAAGAAATATCTGGTTTGGCAAGCCATCTGTACCTGTGGCTTGAAAAGCAGCATTTTCATAGCTTCCGGGACTGTCAACCAAGAAATTTACGTGAAAGAGTGTTTGAATAAACGTCTGCTGCCTTTCCTGAAGAAACACGGTTGTTCCGTACTGTTTTGGCCGGATTTGGCATCTTGCCATTACGGTAAAAAGGTCATGGAGTGGTACGCCGCCAACAACGTGCAGGTGGTTCCCAAGGACAAGAACCCTCCCAACACGCCAGAGCTCCGTCCAATTGAGAAATACTGGGCTATTGTCAAGCGGAACCTAAAGAAGACCAAAAAAACTGCTAAGGGCGAGCAGCAGTTCAAGGCAAACTGGCTTTCTGCGGCGAAGAAGGTGGACAAGGTGGCTGTACAAAATCTGATGGCAGGGGATCAAGCGTAAGGCCCGGCAATTCGGATTTGGAAAAGCGGAAGCCTAACTGAATATTTTTCCTGAATTTTATACTAATTGAACTTGAAAAAGAAATTTAATTTGATTTTTCAAATAAACGATTTCACCGATTTACACGCGTTTTCCCTTGACCAAATTTTGACCGTATCACCCTTTAAGCATATAATATAATTGACTGTAAATTGTATAAACATCCAAATTGCGTAACCACTGTAATGAAAACCTCCGAGGGGGATGTGAAATCTCGGGTCGTTCCGGCTATGTTCCAAAAGCGCACTCACTAAGCTGAATACTTTTAAGATATTTAGTTTTTATTCATCTTAGATAACAAACACAACCTCTCTCCTATAATCTACCCTGCCTTGTTCTACTGGTCTCAAAGCTTGGCTTAAGAGTAATATAGATAATTCGCTCACCAGACTGCTTCTCAGTTGCCGCCCCGTGCCGCTGCCACTACCATTCGACCAGCCAGCCACGCTAGATGAATCTCACGAAGCGATGTGTGGGTAGGCCATCGCACTTCATCCCGGTCACAACGCAGTGGATTGGTTTCCATCCGTAGAAGCTCGCGTTGCCGACCAGGTAGGATGAGATCACGGAGAAGACACCGGTCTCACTGGTTCCCAAGTCACTTCACCGGCTATCGGTCTACTTTCCTCGCTCGCTGGTACTCCTAACCAGCAGTTGGATGCAATGTATGCCAATTCGTAGTACCGATCCGATGGTTTGTGCTTGGAAACGAGTCGATTCAGACAGTCTGCCAAACAAACTCCGAAAAAAGAGCCCTAAGGAGGATTTGCACATTAGCACTGTGTTCCGATCCAACCGGTCAATATAACTCACCCGTTGGGGCCCTTCTGACTTGATTCAGGTGTTCTGGCGGAACAGAACCGTTGGCTGCACCCGTTATCCGTTACCTACACCGTTGAACTCACTCGTGCTGCCGTCTGTCGGGATTGTGGGAATTAGCTTCAGACTTCGTTCAAATACTCAATTAGACTTACTAATGACGTCAGCGTCGGATTCTTCAACCGTGTCGTTGAGATTGATTGTAGTTGGGGTGGTTTCGTCGTCTCTTGCCGTGTCAGCTGTACGTGAGACCGGCTGGTGTGTTTGGTCCGTTCACGATTCACGTTCTTCCACGTGCTCTTGCGGTTCTATTGGCGGTGAAAGTGCAAGTCCGCACCTGGTATGCTTCCACAGGCCAACGACGACGGTGCGACCGCTGCGACTCCCGATGCCGCACGATTTTACTTGCGATACGCACTTCTCGCGGTTTTCTCTTGCGACGAGACGATCTGACACGCACTTTTCTTGCTTGCCTCCGGTGGATGTGTTCGCTGAGCAGATCAAAGCGTAGCAACAACGATTGTCTGCACCTAGTGCAATTTCCCGACGGACGGACGGATGTACCATTTATGCACTGCGATTTCCGCACTCGCGATAAACGCTTCCCATACGATGGGACGATTCGATGCACACGTTCTGACGATATACTCCTTCTCTCGCAGTCGGTGGCTTCTGTCTCCTCCCGTTTTCTCCTTTTCTTTTTCAGCTGCGGAAGTACAAACGTCACACTTCGCCTGAGCTGATAACCGGTTCGCGGTCCGTTAGCAAGAAACTTATTGCTTGCTTTCTGCTGTCAAGTGGTGCGGCAGAGCTGAGCGCTATTATTATAGCTATATGGCCTACACGCTGATACGTTTTTACACATTGTCAGCCTTACTAATCGTGAGCATAGCATATTTATTTATGATTAACATCAAAACGTAACACCACCTAGCAGTTTCCGATAGTACACGTAACAATCTCATGTGAATCTGAACGCTCAATACAATTATTTTTACTAGGGGAAATGGCTCTAATGTCTAAGATTGGGCCCATCGCTAAAAATCTGCTATTTATGAATTTTATCTAGATGAACGCATCATTGGGACGGTACTAGTGGATATTTTTGGTCACTATTGAAAATTTAGTCGATTGCTGAATTTATGTATGGGCCCAAATTAGGGACATTTAGGCCGACATTACATCCATTTCCCCTATCTGTTGAAAAATGTGGGAAACCTGGATAAGCCTGCACATTTTCCAATTTAAGTAGTATCTGCAAAGTACAAGTTCTACAAACATTTAACAATGTTAGGACCAACGATTGCAATAGTTCTACCTTCTTAAAATCCCTAATTCTCACAGAAATCCCTACCAGATGTTTTCGTTGCTTTGAATATGTGGGCTTTGATTTCAGACCTGAAACTGTATTCTTTCCCCAAAAACCTTACACTCCAGGGTGGCGCACAGCTGATTCAAACTCGCGAACACACCTGCAACCCTGCAGCTCACAGCTAAACATTCGGTATACGGTGGTATAAGTGTGGGACGTCTCCCCATTAACTGACACACGAACGAAGCGACCTACGACGACGATGACAATGACACGCTCGATCCACCCAGTCTCAGAAAGAGTATGTAATTTTCATCGATATTCGTCTCTTCCGTTGGTCTTGGTCGGCTTGACTTGACTTTTGATTCTACGTAGGCAGTCATAATAAACGGCAACGGATGTACAAACCATGAGACATCTTCTTGGTCGGAAAAATCTTCAAGTTTTATTTGCTAAAGTGAACGGCAAAGACAATAGAAGGAGAAGAAAACATATTCATCGGAACTGGTGCAGTGGTGGGTGGTAGGAATATCCTGTGCTATTTTCCACCTCTGACCCCGACGAAAACCGAACGAGTGCACTGAAACGTAGTAAATTATTTTCGGTTTTCGGCATCTGCACTGTTAATTTCCAGTTCTTCGTTGCATCTTTTCTCATATCTGCGACTGTGTTCGCGTTTTTTCCCCTTTTCTTCATCCTGTAGTGCAGTGTGTTCTACGTGTTTTATGTGTCTAGCAGCTAGGAGCTGTTGAGGCTCATACAGTGGCGAGGAAGGAAACCGAAATGGTTACACAATACCATCAGCATCCTCTCCGTGGTGGGATTTGAATCTTTGTGCTTTTGTGGTGTGATGTTCTTGCCGTTTTATAAAATTCAACAACCCATCATGAAGAGAATCAAGCGACTGGATTAAAGAAATCAACCATCAACTAATCGCGATAGGATCCTTTCGGAGAAGGGAAACACAACCTTCCCAAATATTCTGTACAAGTATAGTGAGTCATTCCGAGTATCGATTTTGACAAGCGAGAAGAAAGAGTCGAGTGTTGGTGTGGGCTGTGGGCCACCCCGAAAATCCGTCGTGAAAAGTTTCGAAGAATTGGTTGAAGAAGAAGAAGAAAGCGCTCGAGTTTTTGGTGTCTGACGTCGAGTTCGCGTCGCCGTCTGGCGCAACCCAAGGAAAAAGAAGGGAAAAATTGTGTCATTTAAAGTGAAGAAGATAACACGTGATTTGTGAAAGTAGGTGGGATATCGGACCGGAGACCGGAGTAGACAAAGGATCACACCATCGACCTTTTCCTCGGGTGCCCGAGGGATGGCCATGTTCCATCCGTCACCGTGAGTCGTAGTTTTTCCTGCGAATAAGTGTGTTAGTGTGTGCGCCGTTGAATCGAATCGACCGGAAGTTGCTGTTCGGTGTAAATCTTTATCAGCTGGACCTGGAAGGAATCGGACATTTGCGTGCGGAAAACGGACCTGCTAGAGGTGAGTGTGCGAGTTTTCTTATTTCTACACAGTAAAAAATATGGTGCAATATCTTATCGAAAACGATGATGTTCACCCATGTCGAAAAAGTCGTGTAATTGTACGTCGACCCGATGTTCAAATGTAGTTGGTGAAGTATCGTGGAGGTATCTCTAACAAAGACATTAATTTCATGAAGGCATCTAAACTGATGATCAAAAGCACTTTTGGATGGAAGGAAATCGGTCGAGAAAACGAACTTCCCTAACACAGACATCAATAATCAAATTAGAAAATTAATATTTTTCATGAGACAGCTGCAGTCAGTTGATTTTTAGTTTTTGTTTACCGATAGGTTTTGACGGTTCACAGTTGAACTGACAGTTTTTTAGCTGTCACACACACACACACACACACACACACACACACACACACGTTCCAGCCATACATCTTGGGTCGTTTTTTGAAGATTTTTCGAGTTCGTCTCGGAGTAAATGGAAGAAACTACTTATAGAAGTTGGTTCACAGCAAGGAAAAAAAATTCTGGGCGGAATTCAACCTTCTGCGGGAAATCAAAATATTTAAATTACATGATGCAGGATCGTTCTACAAAAGTAAATAAGTGAACAATTTGAAAAATAAATTTCTAAACATCATCTGGTCACTGGACCCTGAAGTTTATGCAATCTATCCCCGGAATCTAGTTCCAGGTTTACTACGATGTTTCTTACGATTTCCACCTGAAGATTCCTCCAACTTATCCTGGAGGTTTCTTCCGTATACCGCCAGAATGGCTTTTAGCTTTCTCCGGAAGCTTCTTCTGACAACATTTGTTATTTTTTTCAGACCTGCTCGAAAAGCTTCTATCTAATTATCCTGGAAGCTCCTGCTGAACACATCCACAGTTATTGATTGAGAGCCTTCCTGTATCATTTTTGCAATAGTATAATTATAATTGGCAAGTGCAATAATATTCTATGTCCAGAGACAATTTTCAACCCAAAAATTCCTAGATCGAACCGGGAATGGAACCCAGCCAACTCCAGAATGATCTAACTTTATAGCTGCACCATTACTGACTCGACTGACCTAAGGGAGAGGCCCATCGAATCGTCATTTGGTGTGGAACTGCTCAAGAGCATAAACGATAATGCATCAAATATTGTTTCAGGGTGTCGACTGCCTGAAAAAAAAAACCTGGGAAATCAGGGAATTCATTTTTGAACATGGAAAATCAAGGAATCGCAGGGAATGTCATTGAAATTCAGGGAAATATTTCTTGATCACAGAAGTATGTCAAACTTTGCTAGTTCAAACAACTTAATTACTCGGTGTAGTTTGAGGATGGTTTAAAATTTTAAATAGAGTTACGAATTTGTGGTTGCTCAATGCTTGAGTTGAGCAAGATTTACTAAAGTAAAAGGGTATTTTAATGATTTTGCGCCTAATATAAATTCAGCTCCTACTGGATGTTGATACATTCCTGAGTTAAAATGAGATCCTGAGGGTTGATAAAAAAAATCTATATCCGTAGACACTAGACGTTGTTATTTGATGCCAAATATATCCTCTAAATGGGTATGTGCGTCTCTTAATAGATGTTACGACTGATTACGTCTGACGTAGATCCTTTGGGCGCATTGGAGCGCTTTTCAACAAATTCACGACTGGTAAAGAGTTAAGAGAAGAAGATGATTTTTTTTTTCTGATCACTTGTAGTTCTTGTTCCTTATTGTGTTCTTGACAGCCTGACTAGCTCAGGGAATAAACTAAATTAGTATTTAAGATAATAGCCTTGGAATAGCACTTTTATGATTGAATAATGATTCAAGAAACGTAGACTAACATTGCCTCGACAGCATAGAGTGGCGTTATTCAGTATTCTAGTTCTTCATTGGAAGCTTGGAAATTAAGCTGCTGAATTTTGAAGGTGAAAGCGTTGTTTTTACGATTTCCCATCATAGGAATCTGCCCATAAATTAGCGTATTGTTAAGCGTATTATCCGGAATAATGTTCTTGTGCAGCTGGGTCTCAAATTGTACTCAAGGGAGACAATTATAAAGGGATTAAAGACAAGTGTTTCATATGCAAGATGTAGGAGATTTATGTAAATTTTTGCTCCTAGCGTTGATTGAAAATGTTCACGATATTTCACGAAGCTCAACAAGGGAAAAGTTTGCTAGGTGAATATTTTCAACACTGCATCTTCTAAGGGTGAGAAAATCGCCATGCCAAGGACCTCTTCTCATATCATGAAGTTAATCGAGTAAATTTGCTGCAAACTTTAAGCGATTAAGGAAGCATTGTTTGTAGATTGATATCGAGATAGTTGCAGTTTCCTCCACACATCACTATTTATCATGAATTGAACTGATTCCCTGGTGTTTACAATTTGTTAATTTAGAAAATTGCGGTGCCATCCCGTTTTTGGCAACACGCGATTTATGTCTTTTTTGCATCCTATGAAATGTATCAAACGCTTTATTCAATTTGAGAGTGTACTGGACCACTCTTCATGGGTTAGAGGTCCAGACATTGTGGTATATCATGACAAAATGTCCAGAAAGCACTACCCAACTAACAATTTTGGCTGCAGACTAGCTAATACAGCCAAAAGTTTCCTTATGCTGCTAATTTGTGCCTTATAGGCTGGTCAGCAGCTAGAATTGTTTGTTGGGTAGTACATATCTAAGGAAATTAATTGCTGATGAGGTCGTGTTGATAAAACCATGTAGATACACAGCAAAAAAATAATTTTGATATTACGTCAAACTGGATGCACTACAATCATGTCGAAAATATGGTGTAATATTACTTGCTAAAAAGGACAAAATTATCATCAATACAATGCATGAACTGACATTACGCTGCTTTTACTGCATTTGTTTATTTATGTGGTCATAAAAATTACATGAAATTTTCGACATGATTGTAGTGCATCCACTTTGATGTAATATCAAAATTATTTTTTTGCTGTGTACCGTGGCTGGATTTTCTTTTTAATCACTGAAAAATCAGGGAATTTGGTTTTCTTCATTGAGTCGACACCCTGTGTTCGTTAAATATTTCAGCAACAATTAAATATTAACATTTTTCCATCAAATGGGCACGTATCTAATATGCGCTCAAGTGACTAATATGTGAAGCTTTCTTATAATTCACAATCCTTGGGAAAATTTTCGAAATTTTAAACTTAGAATAAGTTTTAAGGTTTTACAACCAAAAGTAAAAAATGTTGCGAAAAATGCAACACGCCAAAACACACCATTATTGATTGTTAAAAACGCATTGTATTTCATTTTTTTGCAAGGCTACAATCTGTTACGAAAAATGCAACATGATCTTGCAAATATCTAGAATCTTGCAGTTTTATTTAGAAAAAAAAACATTCAAGATTCTGAGACATGCACGGAAAAACGAAATAACTCAAAATTAAGTCTTTTGTACTCATCTTGACACCTAACTGCAACCAGACAAAATTGAGTTCTTTGCGAAGTATCCAATTTTTAGAATTTTGGAAAGACTTCATTTTGAGTCAAATGCAACTGTTTCATAAAGAGTGAATATTGGATAAAAAATACTTAAAAGCAGGTTCTTACTGTAAAAAGATATTTAGAGAAATTAAGGTTTTAACTGATTATATTATAACGTATGACAATTGAGCATTAAATAAACAATACAGTAGTTTTATTTATTATTATAGGGGTACAAGGATAATTTAAACATTTAAATAAGAAGATATATGTAACATCTTTGAGTTATACGGTTTTTTAGCTGGTCACTGTCAGCTTCAAGCAGCCCAACAATTTCCGGGTCAATGCCTCTGTAAGGCGACGATATCCATCGGATTGTGTTAACCGGGGGACCATCGCGGGAGGTAAGTTCCAAGGAAACTCCTTGGATCCACTCTCGGCTCCCAAGACTCCGACTGGTTTGCATAAATGTACCACACTGCAATTATCTAGGTAGACGACATAGACATAACCTACGAAGCAGAGTCAAAAAACTAAAACGTCCTTACCTTTACTGATCCGCAGCCCTCAAATACTGAGTTATGATGCACTTCACTAAAAACGAAATCATCAACTGGTGGAGCAAGCGACGAACTAGCAGAAATAAACATGGCGCACGTTACGATTTTTCATCCAAAATGACGTGCAAACGCAACACTTGATTTTAAATACTGTCGTAGCGCGGAAACCAAAAAATAAATCGAGATAAGAAGTCCTCAAAAATAAGAGCTCTCTCAAGACTACTGTTTGAGTAAAATTAAGTTTAAGTTAAAAGTACTCATCAATGAGAACAAAATTTCACCCAAAACAGTAGTGTTGGCGGAGTACTTATTTTTAAATACTTTCTATCTCGATTTTGCGTTGTTTCGTCTTTCCGTGTAGAAAAATAGTCAGAATTTAAGGCATACATACAGCATATACCACACCACATAGGGTGGCAAAATTTTTTTTTTCAAAAATTTATAACATTTTAACCACTGAGCCGATTTTAAAAATCAAAATATCATATGAATGGTAGTTAAAAATACTTTAAAAAATATAATGATATTTAAAAAAAAAAGAGATTTTGTATTGAAAAACATTGATTGCACTGTCTTTTTTTTTTTTTGGTTTTCATGGTTTGTAGATAGAGACCGAAATATGTTTTTATATTTTTCATTGAAAATTTAGGCTTTGTTAATTTATATCACAAAATCAGCGATGTGTTTTTTTTTTTTCGTTTTTGAGTTACATTTTTTTTTAAGTTATTAAGTTTTGGGTTTTCGCTCAATACTCCTTTAAGGCACCTTAATGACAAAATAAAAAAATACGGGTTTAATATTTTGCGATAAGGAACAAACCTACAATTTTTACGAAACTCTGAGAACCACTGTATTGTTTTGGGGAGGCGAACCAGCCCAAGGCTGAAAGCCTCCCTAATAAAGATAAATAATAATAATAATGTATCGTTTTGCTTTGGAATGGCTGATACATATTTGACAAACTCGGAAATTGAATTAAAAACAAGT